AAGCCCATGTCCTGACAATGATTTACCTCCTCATAGTCTGGTTCTTCACTGTCTCTTTCTTACCTCTCTGTTCTTATGTCCTATTAACCCACAACCCCCTTCCCACTCTTCCTATGCCTGGAATGTTCTCTCCAATAGCAACATGGCCCACCCCTCACCTCCTTTAAGTCTTTATTCAAATGCCACCGTTTTGGTGAGGTTTTCTCTGACCACCTTATTTAAAATTTCACCCTTCTCCTACACTCCTCATCCTCCCCTCTTGCTTTTAAGATAATTCTTCATCACACACTGTCTTCTGTCATACTATATTTTAAAAATTGGTTTATTGTCTGCCTCTCACTGTCTATGGAAGTGTGGATTTAGTATTTTTTATTCATTGCTATTTCCTCAATTACTAGAATAGTGCCTGGCTCAAAGTAAGCATTCAATAAATATTTATTGCATTCCCTAAAAGTCCTAGTTCTCTGATATTTGTAAATTTACCTAGCAATAATAAACATTTAACTAATGCATCAAAAATATATTATAGATTTGTCATTGACATCACATCTTTATTACCCACTTTAAATCATTGTGCTTCAAACATTATCTCATTTCTTTTCACCATTGCTAAGTAGGCAGGAGTCAAGTATTACTAGCCTTAGTTGATAGACAATGTGACAGATCCAGTCAGAGTGGATAACTGAGTCACAGAGTTTAGATTTTCCAACTTCCACTTGTATCTGGAATCACTTGGCAGTTTAGGCTTTTATAACTAAGTGATGATTCTTTAATAAATGGACTGCTTAAAAACAAGGGGGGTATGGTCAGAAGACAATACTTAGAAATATGCTTTCCGACGTTAGGTGTTTTGTTCCAGCAGAATCTTAAAAGTAAATGTGGAATGGGTGTCTGGTTCTTAAACAGTGCAAATGTTACAATTTGTTGTTCCTTCTATTTCATTTTCCTTTTTATTAAACAGTGCAGCATGCTGGTGACATTCAGAACATGAAACTTATTGATCCATGAGCTTATATGTGCTCATAATTCACCCACAGTGCTGATTTCCAGATCTAGAAATACTACATCATAAACCAGGCTTGCAAATAGCTATTGTTCTTAATGAATGGTGATTTGTTATGAAGAATGATTCCTGGAACATCATTCTCTTTTAGGCAATTAACTTATTGATTTTACTGGTGAATCTGAACATGGACCACTGGAAGAGTTTGTACAAGGGAAGCTTGGACAAATATGTGACAACTACTTAAAAGAGGGGGGATGGGGAGGGCCATTTTGATTAAACACTCTTATTCTATATCTTTTTAATCTCCTTGACAATCTTCCCAGAGTATCACAACCCACTTTCCTTCCTCTATAACTGGAGTGAATAAAATATAATCTTTGATAGATGAAGATCTTATGAAATTCACACTGTTCTGTATGATCTGGTCATTGCTAACCTTTATATCCTTGTCTCCCACCAATCTCTCCCTGACTCATTGTATTCCAGCCGCAGTGACTTGCTTTTCCCTCCTAGAAGAGGCTAGTACATTTCCACCTCAGGGCACTTATACATGCTGCTTCCTTGGCCTAGAACCCTGGTCGGCAAACTGCGGCTCGCG